AAATGTTTTGACCCCTAAACCCTCTAAACCGCATAACTAAACCTAATAAAACATCATTAACCCAAATATAAATAATATTAAAAAAAAAAAAATCTTGAAAAGTGGCAATTTTTTTTAATTTCTCTAAACACTTTGCAATAGACCGATACATATGTTCCTTCGGCCCAATAATATGGTCACGTAAAATAAATATACCAATGGGCTTTATAAAAGACTTTAATCAAACAATATTTTTTCTATTTTTTGTTGTCAAAAACAATATTTCCTCTATAATCGTTTTAAATCCTCTTTGAATGATTATTATACTTAGTACTTTAGTAGCATTTTGAGATGCGAGGCATTGCTCGATTGCTTTGTCTCTCGTCGTAAAGCCTCAAGACCACTGCCGCAGTTTCCTCAATTGCTCTCTCTGTCACTTCTGCAAACCAAAAACAATCCAAAATGGTTACAATTTTATGAAATTCTATTCTATTTAAATTCTTCATCATATATAGTCTTACCAATCACTGGCCAAGTCGGATTCTCGGCGAAGATTCGCTTAGCAAGCTCAAGCTCTTCCTTAACAGAGCCTAACTCAGAGTACTTAGTCTTAAAACTCGAGCCAAGACCAAGACTCTTGGCTCTAGCCTCTCTTATCCCTTGCAACACGACCGGATTAATCATAAGACCAAAAATCTTTCTTTGGTCGATATCGAACAGAGTCTTGGGAAGATCAACACCGTTTACGATCGGTACGTTGGAAACTTTGTAACCCTTTTGAGCTAAGTAAGTCGAGAGTGGTGTTTTCCCTGTCCTAGAGACACCAACAAGAACAATGTCTGCTTTTTCAAGGTTCTCGGGCAAAGCGCCATCATCGTGTTTGATTGTGAATTCGATTGCTTCGATTCTTTTGAAGTAGTCTTCGTTGAGAGACGATTTTGTGACGCCACGTGAAAGACCGGATGGATTAGCTCCTAAGTGAGAAGAGATTGAGTCTGTGATTGGTCCGAGGATGTCTAGTGAAGTGATACTCCATAGCTTGCAAGCTCTCATTGCTGCTTCAGCCATTGATGGATCAGCTAATGTGTAGATTACCATTGCTCCTTCTCTTGCTGCTTGCTTTATGATCTCCATTAACTTCTCTCCATCCTCTATCTTTGGAAAAAAATCATATCCAATCAAATAAATTTTATTCAATTTCGGTTTAACAAAACCAATTCTTCAAACACCGATAATCATCAAACAAATTTTGTTCAGTTTCTCCTAATCTTTCTTAACTTTTGTTGCTTGTAAATGAAGCAAATTGTATGCTTTAAGCATCCCTCTCTCAATAATATATACCGGTTCGGTTTAGCTAAAACTGAAATATCGAGAGAATGAGGAAAAGACGAGAATACCCCTGAAAAGAGATGTGTATTAACGGGACAGCCACGGTCGACCAAACAATAATCGAACTGTCCCAAAGCAGCGTTAACGGCGTGTTCCGCCGTCCATCCAGTTCCGTCAGAGACTATGTAAATCGATTTCGCCGCCGTCAAATCCGTCTCGTTATCTCCGTTACTAGATGACACGTCACTTTCCAGCGTCGAAACATCAGAGCGGTTTGAATTTCCGATCGGAAGCCTCTGATTGGTCGTTGAGTTACTAATCGGTCGGTCCAGCTTCGAACCGGACTTTAAGGCTCGTGCTCTGTTCCAGCGACTCAGCTTCGAGCTGAATTTCCGAGGCTGTCGTTCGGAGTTAGGTTCGCATGAGTTTAAGGAAACGGAATCCGAACCTGCAGGTTTGGAATTTGGGTTGAGATTGGCCGTTATCGGTGGTGGACGTCCCTGCAAATTCATCGCCGAGAGAAAAGCCATTTGTTTAAAATTTTATCTAATTATTTTCGTGACCTTTCGTCTAATATCTTCTGATATAAATTAAATTGTTGAACAAACCACTTTTATTCAATTTCGGTTTAATTGATTTTTGGTTAGATTTGGTTTATTGGTTTTTCTTTTTTAATCTGAAAAATATAATGAAACAAGTAGCAGCCGTACAAAAAAAAGAATAGATATAAGAAGAATTATTTTGGTGTATTACC